TTTTTTTTTAATGAAACTCAACTATCACCGTGACTGTAATTAATTTATAAAATAATGCTAAATTCTTTCGTATCTTCGTTATTTCTAATTAAAAGCTATGAATCATCAAATTTTCCAAGAGTTGTGGCAATGACCAAGAAAGATGAACTTTAACCTGTTAACAACTTGACTTATGAATAAAATTTTAATTTTCAAATAAAGACAATTTAAAGAGTGATGCATGAATCTACTAGTATATTTAACAACTTTTATTATCACTACTTATAACAGTGCAAATGTCCTTTCCCGTATTTTAGACTTCAACGATTTGGTCCAGTCAGGCGACTGCCACTCTTCGTGTTTGATAGAGTTGTAAGTTTTGGAACATTTGTAAATCGTTACCGCGATTTGCAACAATAATCAATCACTGAAAGCTTGTATTCGGAATTAGCAATGAACTTTGACTCTGTCAACAAAAAGGAATATAGGTCAATACAATGAGAATGGCACTGAGGCCATTTTTGAAAGGAATTAAAAAATCTTCGATGTGTGAATCATTACTATCCGATCTTCATCTGACCACTACCCCAGGGTCATGTCCACTATCCCTAGGACCATTTGTCCATCCCACTCACTTACCTACAGTACTTGCAACTCTCTCTTTGGCCTGTTTTCCATCTCTTATAGCCATTTTTGGATGGTAAGAGTCAAATGCGTGGGTGGATAGATCAGTCACCCTCTGTCTCTGATAAGAAGGGAAAGAAAGCAATGATATAGCAGTGTTAGGTGAACTTTCCAAGATACATCGCAACTGTTACGGATCGCTTTTGACATGGGTTTGGATGCTCTCTTAATGTTCGCATGCTTGTCTATCTCTCCTAATATACTAAATGTATATCCTATACTCTCTCATGATATCAGTATGTTTTTCTCTTCTTCCTCAATAATTGACATACTCTCCCGCTCCCCTCTCTGAGACGGTCCCTTACTTTCGCATCGTTGTGTTCGTTCCCTTTTCTCCTCACTCTTTCTCGTTATCGACCCAATCCCTTTATCCTCTCTCATCTCTTACATCATCGCAATGTATCATTTTCCTCTGCTTTCGTATACCTTCAAAAAGCGCACTTTCTTCATATTCTATATACAATCTGCTATTTGTTCCCTCGTCCTTCTTGATAACTATTTCACTTTGCAGTTGTCTCATAGTTTGTACGTTCTACTTATCTGGCACTATTTCACAAGTAAAATGTATAATTCTCCGCGTAATGCATATTGTCTACAAGTCATCGAATCTGTCAAGGAGCAGTCTCCACCCCCCGAGCAGTGTATCTTCTCGCGAGCTGCTCAGTGTTCAATGCTGCCTCCTCTGCCGCTGCCTGCCCTCTCCCTCTTTACACTTCCTTTATATATTTGTTGTCATACGTACCGCATATATTGTGTGCGTATATGAGCGTGCATATTATATATAAATGTGTGTGTGTGTGTGTGTGTGTGTGTCCGTTATCACACACACACACGCATACACACACAGATAGAAAAGGTGTAGTAAGAAAGGAGCGAGTGGTGGTGCATCGCCCCCTTCTTGCCTGTTATTTTGCCGATAAATTGATAGACGTATGTCTGTGTATCCCGCACGGAACATACACACTCATTTGCACACACATATCTCACTCGTCCACTTCAGTTATATATTTTTCTCATTTATTATATTCCATTCCATCTATATTTTTAAGTATTTGTTTAGCGTCACCTTGAAAGAATGGACAGACGGACAGACAGACAATGAGCTCTTCAGGCTGTACTCATTTTTCAAAGCAACGAAAACTCTTTTCCGCTCTATGAACGGCTTATTCGTATATTGCGGTAGAGGTCAGAATGCATGCCTGACCTCTAGCATAAGATATGAATGAGGATTGTATTCCATACAGATCAGCTCATCTTCCTCCATCAACTTACCTTCTTGACCTCTGCTCTTCCTCTTTTTCCTCTCCCAAGCAACTATCGCTATTAAATGCCACTGCCACTGCATCCTTTGCATTTCATGCATCCTCTGGTAACATGCAGAATGCGTCTAAATTTAACTTATAATCCAATTTTCATCTTTGGATAATACAGACATACACACACATACGCATACACACACACGCACACACTTATCCGTGTATCTATCAGTGCCTCTTGGGATACGGTAGGAAGGAAGTTGGATTTGAAATGAAAGAGAGCCTTGTATGGATGACAAGGTGTACTGTAAGAAATGAACGATGAAATGACTACTAAAATAGGCTTTGTGTACAATCACCATTCTTCCTAAGGGAATCTGCGATGCTCATTAACAAGTGCATCTGCGTACATCTTTTGCTAACTTCATTTGCAAACACTATAACAGACTAGTGACATATATGTCGATTATTTGTATGCAAACCTTAAGGTGGTTTAATGCATCCCAGGTACCTGGAAGAAAGAGACATCATGAATTACTCACTTAACTACTTTGCCATTACTGCCACAAATTACCCGATATTCCGGCATAATTGCTTTTTATCCATGAGATTTACTGCATTCATGTAAGCAGTATGAAGATTCGTTTAACAATTATTTAAATGCCATCAGAAGAAAATGATTATCTTCTTTCAGTGTATCTGTGTGATATGAATCAGAATTTGGTACCAGCTTATTTTCAGACTGGAAATATAAACTCTGCTCCACAACAGGTCCCACTTTTTTTAGCACCTATTTTTTAAAGCTGAATTTTTTATAAATACTCCAAACCGGGAGTGGTAATGCCTTTTACGAGCGATTTCTAAGGGTATTACATCACCGTGTTGTGATGTCATTTCTTGGTTATGCTGTATTTTATTTTGAGTTTAAATATTCGATTTTTGTTCAGGTCGAGCATGTAGTAATTGGCGATCGTGTCAGTATCCTGAAAGATGAAACGAAATCAACAATGCAGGTAATGTGTTAGGTGGGCGGACGGAGATTATGGCAATTTTTCTTGTCATTGCTCCATTCTAGCCGTACTTATTTTGGTTAGGATTAAATACTTATCTGCAAATAATGTGTCCGTGTGTAGGAGCACTCACGCCATGATGATATGTGGCATCGAGGAACACTTAACACGTCAAAGTGACACATGGAATTGAAGAATACTTGAGATGGCGTGTGACGTCCATGCGCTTTGTATGGAAATTGAGCATAACTTTCGTTCTTCGTTTTCGTATTTGATGGAATGTAGATATGGTTAGCATTCTTCGAGCAAAATTTTAGTAATACATAGGTGAGTTTTATCAATCATTCATATCCGTTTAGCAGTTCCATGTCTGCTAACTATAATATTTAATTTGCAGTTACAAGCACAAGCACCCACGGGTATGACTATTCATCCAGCAGGTACAACTTTTTTTCAAACCACATCCAGTAGTCCATTTACGACAACAAATAGTGGTCCTATTTTTCATAATTCTACAACAACGACATTTCTCCCCAATTCGGTGAGCTGTTTACGATTCATTAATCATGAACCCATTCTACATTTCTTCTATTTATCACATTTACCAATAAGCAAGAGTTATCTGTATGTTCGAGATATAAGCGGGTTTTAAGTTTGCGACGTATTTTTTAATAATTCTTTATAAAAACTAATATAGGTCCAAAACGTACAGATTCAGCCAAACACTGCAGCCGCGCTTAATGGACAACAGCAAGTACGCCTTGTGCAAACCGTCAATCCTGCACCGACTGTTAATGTCACGTCTCCTCAACAGCAAGGTGCCACAGTTTTAACTGGTAAGAAATTGAGTCTTAATTAGTGTCCAGTTCTAGTTACATTACTGTTCATAGATGAATAAACATTGAGAAAAACTATCACATGGTATGTTTGACATTTGACACCAAATGATTTGATGGTTTTAACGATTTTAATTGAGCTGAAGTGCCAAATTTCAGTCAGACATGAACATTTACTATTTACCGTCTTCTTTTACTTTGAAGAGATCAAAGTGACGTCTTACAGATGGTAATTTTCAACGATGTTTTAAAAGAACACCAATTACGATTTTCATATTTCATATGTTGAGCTGAGTGAAATTCGCATTCACATTTTGCTCTTTATTTGCAGTTGTAACAGCACAGAATCCAAGTGGTACAACTATGCAGATTCTTCAGCCACAGGGTGCTGAAACAGATGAACGGCGTATTGCTGCCATATTGGATTCATACTTCATTGAACAGCAGGCTCCAACAACATCAGTAGTTGCACCTATCACATCAGCTGCTGTAGCTGTTGCAACGCCAGCTGCATATCCATCGCCTGCAAGTATTGTCGCAAAGTAAGTTATATAATTCGTGCTATGCTGCAGCTAGCATAAAAGCAGCATCATGCAATACAATATAGATAATCTATCTTAAGGACTAGATGTCTTTAACTGTTTCGGAGAATGATGGATTTTTTACAGTGATGATACTGCCTGATTTTAGATACACGCGTGGGAAAGGTACAACACAAGAAAAAAAAGAAAAAGACGAAGCAAAACGAGCTAAACAAGCGGAGGCAGCAAGATTGCGGTACCACCGGTTAAGCGCTGAGGAAAAAAGAGCTTTGAATATCAAGCGAACTATGGCGCAGAAACGCAAAAGACAACGTGAAAAGGAACTTGAAGAACTTGAAAATTTGTTGCGGCAAACAAATGATATACAAGAGGTAGTGAAGCTGTTCTTATTTGTTTCTGAAAAAGCAATTTGAGTTTCATAACATTATCTCTATTCCAGGATCCTGATATTAATGAGCAGTTACGTGAGAAACGAATGCGAGCACGTTGGGCTGAAGCAGCACGTTCACGTTATCAGCGTATGTCATCAGAAGAACGCCGCGCCCATAACAATCGTAGACGAATGAGACAAATTGCTGCAACGGAAGGATTAAAGGGGCCTGATGGACAGCCCGTAATTTTCCAATTGAGTTTACTTAGATTTGGCTAATTTTTTAAAATGATTTCTCCATTACATTTCTTTGTTATCTACACTGAACATCTGACATGATTCTGGAAAAATTATGAACTTACATTTTCAGGATGAAGAAGCAATCAAGAGGCATATCAAAGAACAAAATGCAAAAAAAGCTGAAGCTGCCAGACTTCGTTACCATCGGATGACCGAGGAGGAAAAGAGGGCCTACAATCAGAGAAGGTTAATTGCCTTCTATATTTTAGTAAATGTGAATGAATGATTTAATCTTTCACTTGAATTGAGATTTTGAAATATTTAGAATATATATATATATATATATATACATATATATATACGTAATTCTAAATGTAAAATAAATAAACAAATATGAATATAAATATAAATATATATTCGTTTATTATTTTTTTATTTATCTATTTTATTTGTTTATTTATTTAGAACGGAAGCATTTCGACGACGACGCATGGAAGAAGAAATGTTACTTGCAATGCCAATTGGGCGCATCAATGGCGAAGCTTTAGATCGAGCACAGCAAATTGTTGTTCGAAATGCGAAACGAGCAGAAGCTGCTAGGCTGAGGTTTTGTGTTTATTAATATGAGTTTTCTTCACTATTTAATTATAATACAGAATAATCTTTCTTCATAGTTATGGTTTATATTATTAAGCAAGGTTTCCAGATACCAAAGAATGACACCCGAGCAAAGGAAGGCATATAATCAAAAACGGTACACGCCAAAACGGAAGCGACTTGAGCATACTGAGGATAGTGAGAGTAATGCGAGTCGCGGCCGAAAACGTAACCAAGAAGAACAGTTTGATGCACTTTCAACCTTGGAGAGAGATGTAATCAAGAGGACACAGCAGGTATTTTTCCTTCATCTTGATGAATGATAATTACTTGTTCTATGAGTGCAATAATTTTGGAATTGTTAAAAGATTGTCTTCCATTACTCTACTAAGGTTGTTTGCCTAAATTTACTTTTGCAATCAACTGTTACAAATGGCACAAAAGAAAGTTTTCAATATCTTAAATGTGATGTAAATATATGGAAATTTGAAGTTTTTTAATTGAGCCATGATGAGCAGTATTGATAGTACTAGACATAAAGTGTGTGCTTCAATTTAAACAATACATGATGCTTTATGGGCTTCTTAACTGCCGAAAAATCCAGTTTTAGGCCCAAGAAGCTTTAATGCGCCAACGAGGAGCCTCCTCTGCGAATACTCCTGCTGGTGCTTACTTGACAGCACATGTTGTTCAGCAGCCTCAATCAAATGTAACTACGGTTCTGCCGAGCACAGCAATAATCCCAAATAGTAGTGGTGTGTTGCCGGGTGTGCTGGCTGCACAGATTCAGCCATCGCAAATTCAAACCGCTTCAATTCAGGCACAGCAAGTGCAGTCGCAACAAACAAGCCAGTCTATGCAGCAGCAGGCAATGACACAAATTCCACAAGTTCAGGTATCTGATAAAAACGAGATGTTTATTTCATTGAGTAGGAGAATTGTGCCATAAGTAATTCTTAGTTAATGTAGTGCTGGATAACTTTACATAGTGAAATTTACGTTTTATCTTACCTTTTTTTGTGGCATAATTTCAAAAGTTTAAATGTTTTTCAATACAGTGGACATTAAAATGAGTTATAGTATATTGAAGTATTTACTTTCTCTGCAATAATTGTTTGAATTTCGCAATTCATTAACAGTTGTAGGAAATGGAAAACATGAAGACCATTTATTACGAACTCTCTCGAGAAACTTTTGAGGTTATGTAAGGAGGATGAAAGATAATTAATTGACCGATAAGTACTATCTTTCAGTGAAATTGATTTTTTTGCATTTGTTATCAAAATAATCGTAGTTTCAGGTGCAGCAAATTCATCCCCAACAAATCCAGAATCAGTCTTCACAACAGCAACAACAACAGATTCAGTATACCGTAACTCCAGGGGGACAAATGATGGTTGGACAACACCTACAACAGCAGTTACTTACGCCATATACGACAGTGCCTCCAAGAGCCTAAGTAATTTTTTGTTCTGGGAACTCCAATATAGTGAATGACACTACAATTCATTCTTTGGGGTGTGTTACATTTATGTATTATAATCCGGTAATACCTTGGTGCCAGGAACCTGATTAACGTCTGAATCCCTTATAAATAATAAAAGAGGGGCATATTGTACTTTGTTTCAGCTTTTTATAACATAAATGAGCAAACTGTTGTTTTTCTTGTAAAAAACGTCTTCTGCATTATATTCATGAAGTAATAATATTCGTTTTGAAAATCATTCAGTAAATACCATTCGTGACGTTGAATGTCCTTTATTCACTTCTTTTTTATATTCTGTTTTTATATTCTGTTAAACATTGAAACTTATACTTAAACATGGGTTCCATGTTTTCAAAACGTATTATTGGGTCATTAGGCTGAGCCAGGTTCCTGTGCTCCAGAAACGTCTTTTTTACTAATGCGTAGATATTAATCAATATCTATATATACGATGGTAAGTGTTGACATCTTTTGCTATCGCACGATGCATAATGAAGAAAAGAGATTAATTTCGGATATGAATTGGAAAGGACAAAAAACATGCATGGCGCAAGTGAACTTGGCTCAGATGTGTCAGGTTTTCTCAATGTTACTGATTACGTTCATAAAAAAGTTTTGCAACCATTCATTTTTGTTTGAAGATAGATGAATTTTATAACATTAATGGGAATGGATTAAATGTATTGCTGATATCAAATATGTATTGGAATGCATGGCCTTGCAGTAATGTTCATTTTGAGTATAAATCTCAGGTTCTTTTCTGCTCTTTTAATGTTTTATTTTATGCGATAATAATTTGGGTTTTGTCATTCCGTGTCTAACTTAGCTCCATTGTTTTCATCTTACTTTGGAGTTTTGTTCTTCACAGAGCTTCTGTTTCTTCATGATTTGGCTCCAGGAAATTCATTGCTTTAGTTTCAATTTTGAAATTTCGAGACATTCATATTTAAGCTAATTGGACACATTCATATTTAAGCTCACTGATCTTAATTATGTTGACAATGTCGCATCAGTATATGAACATTCCTAATTTTTATTCGATTCTGATTTTTACATTAAATAGCTATCGGAACATAATTTTATAATATTATTTATCACCTCCTGGAGTTTTATGTTTGAAGTTTGGGAAGAAATACTGAAATTTTCAGAAGTTTTGAGGTATTGATAATCACGGACTATAAGTTTTTGAAAACGTAAATTCCATCTAGAGCTGGAAGGGAAGAGTTTATTATTTGGTTTTACTCAGCTTATATATGTATAAATTTTTTCGGTACATTTGAAACTTCATCAATTGTTCACCAAGTGTTTTTATTTTAATCACAGATTCATTGAATAAATTGCTGATCTCGCGGAAGCTCATGCTATGAACTATTGCAATTTGCTTGAGATAAGCGCTTTGTTACCTTCTTTTCTATAGGTTGGAATTATTTAATCAATTTTCCACATTTTCATATATCGTTATCAGGCCGAAAGTTTCAGATATCGAATGGTGGGTATTTCGGGAGAAAAGTATGCGTCTGCTTTAAATTTTCATTTTAGGATTCGTTCCATCAGACAGTTAGTGAAAATTTGAGCAATACATTCGTGTCCTAATATCTGGAGATTACTGGGATTACAGTAGCTTATGCTACCTTTGTTTGAGCAGAATGAGCCAACGTGCATTTTTCTCGACTGCAGGTTCAGAAATTATGGGACAATCGCAAATTCTTGATGGTTTGTTTATTTCATTTTGACTAGTAAGTTCATTTTCAATAATTTTGGTGTCTTTAAAAAGAATTGGCTTAAAAAAGTGAAATTACAGGCTTACCGACAACTAATATAGGCCCTGCTGTAACGTCTGTGCAATTTCAATCATCTGGTTGCTCAACTTCGGTTCTCTATCAATCTACCGTTACACCAACGTTTTACACTTCAACTGGATCTCCATTTCATAGTACTGGGGCATTTCTACCTCCGTCTGTCGAGGATCGCAAGGAATATGTATGTTTTGAGAGTGCAATATTCGATATAAATGTTTTTCGATTTTTGTGTTTCTCAGATTTCAAAAATTAATTTTTAGGTGGCTGTTTTGCCAGCCGGTGTTCAAATAAATGATGCGTCGGGCCTAATACCAGCAAGTGGGAGAGGCACTCTTGCATCCGTGGGAACAGTTGACACTGCCAGTTCAGTTGCTCAGCTTACCGCGGTCCCACTTTCACATGTACAGTTGGCGCCCGTACAGGTAAATCATGTACCAATGTAAGAACTAGTCTCTGGCACTAGAACTGATTCGCTTTTCGGTCGTTTCATAAAAAAACAAGTCGAAATTTGGTCATAGAAATTCACTTTTTGAACTATTTTAGAACTTCCTGAGTTTTTCATCTAATTAATGACATGACTACTAATAATGTACCTTAGCTGGCTAATGACGGGCAGTCAAATACTCAACAGCAAATAATTTATGAGCATTATTATGTTGATCAGCAACACCCGTCAACTTCGACAACAATCAATGCAAATTCGCGCGGTCTTCTATCTGAAGCCACATCAGGTGGAGCTGAAAATGGCAAGTAAGTCAAACGGGAACATTTTTAAATACATTTTATATTGCAAAAAGTTTTTCTGCAAAATTATAAAAGTGTCATTTGGTCCTCAAAGAATCGTAGCCTATATCGAGTTTCAGATTTTGTGATCTTACAGAGATTTTGCAAATAAAAGTGGTAGCAGCGAGACATGTTCATTAAGTGGATCTGACACTGCTGCCGCGCTACAATTAAAACGGCAAAAACAGGCGGATGCGGCACGCCAAAGGTATCAACGAATGACTCTGGAGGAGCGAAAGGAGGTAAATCAGAAGCGGACCGAAGCACAGAAGCGTAAACGACAAAAGGATAAAGAAGTAGGAATTTTTGAAAGTCAAGCATTTTCGGGCTTGCATATATATATATATATAATTTATTTTTTTATGAATAGATGGATACTTGATGTATATGCTTTAGCTGGAGGAATTAGAATCACTACTACGACAATCAAAAGATATAGAAGATGATCCTGCAATAAATGAACAACTAAGGGAAAAACGAATCCGAGCTCGTCGTGCAGAGGCAGCACGGTTGCGTTATCAGAGGATGAGCTCGGAAGAAAGACGTGCTTACAATCAGAGAAGACGTTTTCGACAGCTTGGCATTCAAGGTGGTGATGTTGTACTTGCTGCTTTGTTCTTGGTTGTTTTTTCGTGGATAGTGATCAATAAGGGCGCTCGTTTGGAGGAAAGTTCGAAGGGCCATGAAATAGTTGTTCTTTAAGGATGTTTTGCACGAAGTTGAAGCTCATCAGTAGCGAATAAACAAATCTGTCTGTTTTCAAAATTGAATATTTATACAGTTGGGGGAGGGGAGCTATCTTGTTTTTTCCTTTTCTTTTTTTGCTCTACTTCTCATCGTTTGATTAAAAGAAATTTAGTTTTTGATGTAAGAACTTAGATTAGATCAGGAGTGCAGAAATTGTCCTTATCGGCTTCTTGGTGTACATAAGAAGATTCTGTTCTTAGCAGAGTACTCAGTCCAATCTCTTCGCTAACTGCTGCATTTTATGTAAAAATTGGTGCTTGTTACAGTGGTACTGATATGAATCAATAAACTGTTCAGATGTTAAAGCTTTCGCTATTCAATTACTGGTTGATAAAGCCACTTCATGCTTCATATCAAATTATCTGCAAATTTTTATATTTCGTGATTCTTTATATGAAAGAATGTTTATTTTAAGGCGCAAAGAAAAACGGCATGGATGAGGAAAAGTTGCGACAGCATATTATTGAACAAAATGCTAAAAAGGCAGAAGCAGCAAGATTGCGTTATCATCGAATGACTGATGAGGAGAAACGTCAATACAATCAGAGGCGGTAAAAATTCCAAAAGTTTTAAAAGCCATTTTAAAGAAAGTGCGTGGATAATGGGGATAAGGATGTTCAATCAGCAGATTGGGATCATGACAGAAGTTGCGAAAGTCGCGACTTTAACTCTCAAAATCGTGAATACTAAATATGATTTTTTAGACCGGTGCAAATACTGATCAAATAGAGTGCTTCATATTGTTATATTTATCCAAAAATTTCCCTCATCATACAATTCTTCGGTGGTTCTGACGCCATCAATTGCTGAAATTTTTAATTTTTTATCGTAAATGATTTCTGAATTTCAGCACGGAAGCTTTTCGTCGCAGACGTATCGAAGAAGAAATCTTGCTGTCTACTCCAGCAGGTCGTATAAGTGCAGAAGCTCTGAACAGAGCGCAACAAATTATGTTACGTAATGCTAAGCGAGCAGAAGCTGCTCGATTGCGGTATAAATTTCTACATTTCTGAATTTCGAGAATTTCAATGTCATAATTTTATTTTATCTACATTTTCAGTTATCCATTCAATTGTATCCAGATCGGGTGTTAGATAAGCATTGCCAAGTCCGAATGTGCTACTTACTAGTCATTAGATATTGAGCATTATAACTAGGGTGCTTTCACAACTCTTATAAGAAGGGACCATGTAATACTAATTTAGATAAATCAAATGCATTCACATGACTTTTCTGAAAACCTAGACTTTTTGGATTAATAGTTTAAGCGGTAGTGTCACAAAATTTCGAACTCTAAGCAATAAAGGGTTTCATTTGATCCTTCACTTTTTCTTAATAAAAAGATGAATTTTTTCCATCTTTATTGTTGAATCAATTATCTTCCGGCGCTAAGTCCTTATCAGGTAGAAGTATATATTGCAGATACCAACGAATGACGCCAGAACAGCGACGGGCATATAATCAGAAAAGATCTCGTGCAAAAAAAGAACGCGAACGAGTGATGCGTGCTGCATCAGGTTATTTCTATAACTTTAAACGCTGAGCATAAGAGATAAGATTTTTCTCTTGTAACTCGCTCCGACTGCTTTGAAGTCGGATTATTATCGCACGCTTACTTGATGTGACAAAAGTGCTCAAAGGAAAAATTTTTTGCCTAAAATGCGCAAGCATTGCTTGCGATTCGAAATACAATTCGAAATTCAGTTTTTCAGAGGACGCTATGTCAAGCCTGTCATCATCTATAAATGGAAATGAAAGTTCGGCGCAAGTTAACAGTAGTAACAGTGCAGTGGAACAGAAGCCAGTGATTGATAGTGTGGTTAGCGAAGAGGTGTTATCTACTCTCGAAAGAGATGTGCTAAAACGAACGCGACAAGCTAATATGGTACTAATGCGACAAAAAAGGCTTCCACCGCAGGAACAATTCGTTATCGTATGTTTTGCAATTCTTTTGTATGAAATCATCAAGCTGTAAATAAATTTCACCATGGACTGCGGTGGTAAAGTGTAACACATATTGTGGTAATACTTTTGCATTGTTCTTCCCAAAGAGGCTTATGATATCTGCAGTTGAAGTCGATTAGACTTCCAGTGGTTTACACTATATGCTTTTTGCACTAGACACATGAAAATATGCTAAATTCTGAAACTTCCATGGAAATAACTTGCTTTGTTTCGTCAACTTTGCTTGTATCACTGTGTAATAGGTGTGTGCAAACTAGTTTCTGAAGAAACAAATATAATTGTAAAGTGAATAGTAGCCATATTAGTATTTAAATTTACGAAGTGAATGAATTTGCATTATTATGTAACTAACCTGTAGTGGTGCTGATCATCTTGCATTTACAGTACTGTTGGTACATTAGGTAAGATGTCGGAAATTGTAGGTTTTAATTTTACCAAGAATTTTGTAGGTGAGTACAAATCCTGATGGTACTCAAACAGTTATCCCAGCAACAACTACAGAAGATGGTAAACAAATATTTCACATTCCTGCCACAGCAACAACGACGGAGGATGGGAAACAAGTATTTCATATTCCAGCAATAACACAGCAACTTATTAGTGCTGATCCGAATACTTTAACATTGGTTGATGATTCGAATAAACTATTAGGGACCGCACAGCAACCACTGCAGATAACATCTGTACCGCAACTTCTCGGTTTACCACAGCAGCAGCATAGCAACAGCCATGACCACGGAGAAACATCTCATCAAGTTCGTGAAATTTTTTCGTTTTAAGCATCCTTAATGTTTGAAGAATGGAGATAGCCATATTCCGATTTTTAGAAAAGTGCTCAAAATGTTGTCACATTCGGATACTCAGATACGGTGATGATATCCGATTACAATGACTTCCTTTCGCAGTTGATCACATACCTTTTTAGAAGAGATGTTACGAAAATGGCGGAGAGCTTTAGAAAAATATATATTTACAGAAATACATCACATAAATTGAGTACCTCATGTCAAAGCTAGGAAAAGAGTGAAGATATAAGCATGTAAATCTTGAGTATGACAAGGATAATATAGTTGTAATTGATGTTCATCTGATTTCAAGAAATAGAATATGAAAAACTTACAAGAGGAAATAGACATAAATTTCAGAATAACATGGAAATAGATACAAATTTCAGAGTAACATCAGCAGGAATTTTCTGATAGGTTGCCATGATCTTCATGCAAGGATGATGTAAAGTACTTAAGTTTTAAGTAACGATTCTTGTGCATAAGTCAGATAAAATAAATTTCCTTTTTAATTTCGAGTTTTAGGTTGCGATGACTCAGCAACAACAGATAATCCCGCAGCTTGCTGAGTTGCACAATGTACAAGAAGGCGGTGGTGCAGATGATGCACAGCATACATCGCGTGAAAATCAAGTTGATGCACACGGACAGTTGCAAGCACATCAGCAACAAAGTTCGCAGCAACACATGCAGCAACAGACACAACCCCAACATATTATAGTAACTTTGCAGGAGCCTCAACAACCGATGCAGCATCAGGTAGAAACTTAAAGATAGAGTTTTTGTTTGCATAGTTTACTTTGAGATCTCGAAAATTTTCGAAAAGAAATTGTGCGTTTCCTTCGTCACCTACTATATTTAGATAATTGTTACTGATTTGAATCAAGCAACTGGAGCTGTTCTTTCAAGTATGAGTGGGCACGGACGTTCACGCGGTCGTCCTCCGATGTATGCTGCTGCTGCTGCTGCCATTCAACACCAACAAGGCAATGTGATGCTACCGCCAGGACAAGTGAGTTTTGTAAAATTTCATTTAGTGGTTTGTGGTTCATTGTTTATTGTTTTGCTTGACAAGTATTCCAGACTGTTTGCCTCCTTTTGATATTCTGTGATGTCAGACGTGTCTATTAACCTTCAGGTTACAATAACAGCGACACCGATAATAAGCGAGACAGAAATAAAAGCTCCATATCGAGTAACTGCTCCACGTCATATGAATACGGCGCCAAGTAGACGAGATATTTTGGCTGTTGCGACTGCAGCGTCAGTCGGACCAACAACAGGAATTTCTCCAGAACAAAAGCTAGAAATGCAGAGGGCAAAGCGAGCAGAGCGGGCAAGGTAACTTATTTGACACATGGAATGTCAGTTTGATTTGATTTAAATTTACTATTAATGTTTTTTTGGTGATTTGCTTTTCTGCGTTGATAAGGTATGAAATTCTCAGGTTACGTTATCACAACATGTCTGCTGAAGAGCGGCGCAATTTCAATGCACGCCGTGCTAAAGCTTTGCGGACAGCTCGTATGAGAGATGACGAATTGTGTCGAATGGCGGAAAGAGCTCAGATGTCTGGAACTACTTTGGATGCAGATTTGATGATACAGGTATGCTCTATTTTGAGATTTTTATGTCTGAATAGGCGAACCCTAACTTATGAACTGTACTTGGAGATCAGAAGTTATTTTGGGAGTAAAGTTGTTTTGCTTTTTAGGTAGCTGAAGCACAGCGCCGTCGTGCAAAACGAGCAGAAGCAGCTAGATTGAAGTACCATAGAATGAGTAGTGAGGAACGACGCCAGTACAATGCAATGAGGGATGCTCAAAGGCGTCAAAGGTTAGCTATTTTGTAAAAAAGCTTAAGAATGATTTTCAATGGATTTTCATTATTCCCTGTGATTATGAACTAAATTCTCATCAAACTATTTGTAGAAAAAGACAGAAAGAAGAACAAGAATTGCTGGAACGTGAACGTCAACAGCAAGAACAGCAGCAGCAACAACAACAGCGAAATGAAATCCACCACGAGACCCGTGAACAGGTTGAGCTGTTTGAATCGACTTTGATTATAGACACTCTCTTTATCATTATTCAGTTGCGCGGAATCGGACAAATGATTTTTCGAATTTACATAGAAGTTTGTAGGTAGGTCTTCTGGCTATGAATTAGATGGAAATTCACGAGCTCTTTATTTTTTTTATCACATGTTGCGCCAAAGAAGACTTCGATAAATTGCAGACAGTGTGGATAGGTAATAACTCATCCATGCTGAGTAATAACTCATCCATTATACTATATATTAACAAAAATATGTTGGAAATAAACCAGCGGCAATGCCAATTATCGTTTGATGATGAACGGTAAAATTTAAAGTGCCTAGCCTCATTTCGCAATTAAGTGAATTATTCGGTGCTCTCTGAAACAATGGTGAACTAAAAATGGAGCATTGAGAAGACCAATGGGTAACATGAGGTTTGTAGAAGTCAAGATTTGTAAAGAGTGCGGTTTAAAGGTTCTTAAATTAATCAATATTAAAAAAAGTTTTGAGTTGTTATAGTAGTTGAATCTATAACGCCTTGAAACTTGCTTTTTTTAATATTGATTAATTTCTTAAATTAAGTTGAATCTAGGATGTCGACAGATATTATCAACGAATATCGGCAGATACCAACAGCTTCCTAATTTCAAATTGCGCTGACACCATAATGCTTATGAAACTTGTCAATTCAATAAATCTTATTGTGTGTTAAGTAAAAAGATATTTTTCAGGATGCAAATCGTGAAGGCAATAGCGAACAAATTCTCTATGACTCATACATTCGATATGATAGTCAAATGGATCATGGTTGGGCAGTACAAGGTTGAAGTTGTTCGTTACGATTGAGACTTAGCTTATGGAGCCGCTCAAACTCAGTGAAGTCTATGTGCCGGTACGGGTAATTTAGATCGTTCGTCAGCATCTGTTTGTTGCTTTATGTTTATCTTTATTTTACTAAAATGATCGGTTTGTCCAAATTTTTTTAGTTACTGCTGTTGATTTTTATTCTGACCTAATTTAAACTTTGATGTATTTTGCAAATATGAACTTGTTTTACTGTTAATTTTTTTAAACCTTGCAATTGAATGCATAAGTTACTTATTTTGAAAAAAATCATTATATTCTCACCAGTCTGTCGAGGTTATCCAGTGGAAATATTTCTTTCAAAGAATTAGTCTTTTTTTGATACTTACGTACACAAGAGAGAGTACTTTACCATTCCTGATTCTCTCGGTAGCTTATTTATTTGACTTAGTTCCGCTCAAGTCTAGAATTCTTTTAGGTATAAGATTAAAATAAGGGAATTTTATTTTTGCGGTTATTTCATTATTGTTTTGTACGACACTTCTTTAAAATTCGAAGTATGCGAAATGATCATGATAATGCCGCAAGGATCATAGCAGTTTTATGTGTAATTATAAAATTCTTTTCCTCTCTGGATTATTTTAGAATTTCTTGGACGTAGAAGTCACTATGGGGTAAGAACATGTCCAGTGTACTATTATCCTTCTATGTTTTTTGTGCGTATGGTCATCTATTGAATTTTTCGATATTCAAATCTATCATGGAAATATTTTTCGAATGTTTTTTACGTTTTGAAATGTCATATTCTAGTTTCCGATATTGGATTTCAAATCTATCATGGAAAGCTTTCTTATTTCTTCATTCAAATATGCACATCCATTTGGCGTGACTTTATGTCTGCTATTCCTTCTATTCTGTTAATTAATTGATCGCCTTCTTCATAGTTTATAACCGTTGTATAATGAATGTTTCGTCCTGTTCTTTTAATGAAGATACTCAGTTTCAGATTGCTCCGTAAACTGCTTATCACAAAACATGAGGCGCATTGATTGAGGGAAAATGGAAGTAGCCCGAACAAGTACCCATTTGGAATGTGCGTATTTGAAATTGCACCCCTAAGGCGAGCACATTTGACCCTTGTTGTTGAGTGCTAAAAGAGTGTTGAGGTTTTTTAAATTTGGCGCTATTCACAATAGTCTTCTAGCCAAGTGTAAGTGATATGAATTCTTAACCGAACTCAACCGACACATACTACATCCGCTAAAGTAAACTAATCACCTGTCTGTCGCTTCCGATCAAGTTAAATTGAAGGCTGTACGATTTAAAATATCAGTGCTTTACGCTTCAAAAAGTAAAACTTCCGGCATCCTATTTCTCTCACTGCATTAAGTACAAATCAAAATAAAGCGTCGCGCTGATCAGCGCACTTGATTATATCAACAGATTTTCGTGTACCGAATGTACCTCAATAGTAAATGCAATCGTGTATAAATCAAAACCCAATTCCAGCATTCAAAATGGTACGATGATCGCGCATACGAAGACAAAAGACATGACGAAGCATTTGACTAATCGTGTTTTTTGGCAACAAAAGCAGAGGGAGATGCAGTCTTAATAATCCCTGTCATTTAAAGAGTAATATAGAACAAATAATATAAAATCGCTACTTCATAATTGAAAAATTTTCAAAAAATTTTGAACAGAAGGAACGTACAAGTTCAGATACATTGAATATCTGTTGACTTCAATATTCAGTGCAGCTGAACAGTCCTCAAAATTTTTGATTATCTCTCGATGAAAGCCAACAAATTTCCTTACTGCAAGATTTCATGGAACTTCTGCGAAATAATAGAGATAAACTACAAAATATGACGTTCAATTGTACGGTTCTGCTGGGTCATTTTGTGTTTCTGCAACTTCAGCATCATACAAACGCAACTCCATGTCGGCTGGATTTGCTTTATCACAACGTAACTGAACATTGCGATTATCTTTTTCAAAATGTTCAACCTGGAAATTAAAGTCAGTTTTTACTCCTTAAATATTATTTATCATTAAATGGACAGTTCTCAGGCTTCTCTGAATATTCTATAAAAAAAAGAAAAGAACTATTTATATTCAGTTAAAGATAACTAACATATGTGGATCAGTTTAAAAAAAAAGAATTTAAAAAACAATAAAATGCTCTTGCGCATAAATGAAATGAATCACTTCCACAGCTTTCTCTGAACGTACTCTGCATTTTGTTGGGAAAAATTATTTCGCCTATGACTGCAGTGAAATTTGACGATTTAAGAACAAATGAAGAAAATGCTGCCTCAACCTGCACTGCGAGATTTTTCTTTGGATCCATATTCAGACCAGTAATTTCGTTGAATAGTTCGGTTGTCGATGGCAAGTTCTTGGTACCCAATTTTGCAAAAAATTCTAAAACATTGTCGATATCACGCAATAAGAAAAACAATGCTCGAGGGTGTGAGATGTCCATCGCCTGCAAAAAGTTTTTAAAAACAAATCAGTAGTGTGCTTATAAATTTTTTCCTTTTTATTCTTTTGGAGGTTTTATTTTTTTAAAGATCATTAATAAAACTCGAATAAAATCTTCATGATATTGATATTCATGTAAATAAAGCGCTGTAAATGTGAAGATGTTGGTATTACTTATTACAAAAAAGTGTAATTTGAAACTTGATATGGTCAGAATCGGTTTCAAATCCACTTCACAATTCAGTCAGTAAAATAACCTGAGACACATCAATAATGTAAACATCGTTTTCGTGATAAAGGATATTAAACTCGCTGAGATCACCATGTACAAGATTGCAGTCAGTAAACATTTTGATCACTGCCTGAAATATTGTCCATAAGCGTTTCATTATGTATTTTGTTAGCATTTCCTTTGAATCAAATGAAATTCGTCTCAAATGACTCGAACAAAATACTGCAGGAATACTTATAATTGGATTACAACAAAGGCGTATTAGCTTCATAAAGTAACATGAAGAAATGTATACAGTACATAACGAGAAAATGTAAAGTCCAGTTATCAAATAATTTTTTCTTAATTTGATTCCTTTATTTTGGAAAAAATGATAAAAAATTATTAAGACAAACCACTTTCACTTGCAAAAATGTGTTATATATAGTTTCCTGATCATTCCATTTGATGTCCTTCAGTTTACGAGCTGCAATACCATTAGAGCCAATGAATGTCATGATCATGATATGTTTTCTAAGACGGATCGGTTTTGGACATTTCACACCTCCTCGCACCATCCTTAAAAAAATCACAATTTTCGAAAACTAATAAACAACTCTCACTCTGAGTACAAAATATGTTCACAATACGTCCACTATTCTCAATGCATCACAAAGTATGTTTATTTCATTTCCGCTATATTATCGTTAAGGTGAAACTCTAGAACAGAATTCAGACAAGTAAACTTTCAGCACTTTTCACACTTTATCTTCAACTTCTAGAATTTAAACTTTGAAAAAACGAAATTAATTAATGAAATTAATCAAAAGTTTCTAAGGAGACAGTTACAGACTGAATATCTGAAAAACATTTTCTTCGGATTTTTTATATTTAATTTATTCTGTGCTACTGCTAGAAATCCATAAGAGAAAAAGAGTTAGATCAAATTTATTCAGGGAGTTGTTTAGCTCAGAAATCTTAGCTTACCTCATCAGAAAAGAATTTGATTTCCTGGCAGCTATATTTATTCCCTTATTCCATTATCAACTGCCAGATCCTTCTCTAACCTATGCATTGCCTTATTTCAGTTGTTCTAACCAAAGATCAAAAGAAAATTGCAGGATAGGAAACCTTGAACAATTTTGATTATTTCGTATACAATAGAACATTAAAACACTGTTTTTCCTAACACAGTTTATTATAGTAAAAAGTCATCCATCCATATATATATATAAAAACAGCGAAAGATTAATGAATCTAGAAGCTTTAAACAATCAACAAAGATGAATGAAACATGCCGATTCAGATTCGTGTACTCCTTCTCGGCCCAAATCCGCAATACTCGTCGTGGATTTTTGAAACGATAATCATCTTGGACATATTCTGATCTATTCTTGAATTCCGACAACGTCATTTTGTAAACTTTCAAAGCACAATGTCTTTCTTCCAAAAGTCGAATTCCATCGGCATATGCTGTTGCATGCAAAACTACCGATTCCTGCATTCAAACCCAATTTTTAAGTAGATTCTTCGAAAGTATAACAATAAGACAAATTCTTTCTAGCCTTAAAATATTTAACAGATTCACTTATAATTTTCGAAACTGCTAATTTTTAATTTTTTTAGGATAACCACTGTGAAATACTTCATACCGTTGTAATCTATCTCTTCCAATGCTTCATATCATCAATTCCACTCTACGTTGTAACGTTTTTAGAAATGGAGAGAAAGACAATCTGATTTTACTTCTGAACCCAAATCATACTAACACTGATGCTCAATGTTCGCGAAAATCTTGTGAAATGAGCATATAATAAGAGAATCCCATTAATTTGTAGTACTTCTTTTATTTATGGTTCTCCATACTTTGTTAGATTGTTCGAAAGTTAAGGTATGTAGATTTACAGAATTTTTAAGTCCCAAAACTCAAGGAAAAAGTTGATAAAGAATAACATATAGTGAAGACATGTAACTTCTTACATAATTTGATAATCTATTGGTGTATATGTCTATATTACAATAAGGAGAAATTGAGAAAGAGAGAAAGGAGAGAGAAGACACATTTTTTAGAATGTGAAACCCACTACGAAGTGCCTGACTAACATAATAATTCTCATGTCTTTAAAATTTTTCCTCCTTCCGTACACTTTTATGTCAACTAGCATAGCTTTTTTTTTCCTTCTTATACAACTCTACCTTGCCTGTTGCAATAACATTTTCGATTACATCGAAAAGACCAGTAGTGATAAATCTATAGATTATCAAGCGAGTGATCTTGTCCAAGCTTAATTCATTTGTTGCTTTTTCATCCTTATCCTGAAAAAAAAGAATTGAATCACAACAAAATTTTATAAAAAAATTTGATTGCGACACATATTCATTATTTTCTCAAAAGCCCCAGAATCTCATAACTCAACCATTCTAATAAAACTCAACTTACCTTCACACGAACATTCCTTCTTTGTTCAATTTTGCAGTAGTTACGCAGTCTATTGTAAACTCTGTTACTCAGCTTTTCACCGACTACATCGCCAGTAGGAATATCAATAGGAAGCTATAAATAGTACGATCAAGCACGTCAAAATTGAATATTATGAATTTAATAGAAATTATATAAATATAACAGCTGTTAAACAGTGTTTATAGTAAATTTTAATTTAATCAGAACTAACGTGCATCACTTTTTCGGAGTTACGTCTCTCAGCGATTTCTTTATTATGTTTTGTAATTAAATGTCCTGAAGCATCACGCATATAGCCGCTCGATGGAAACTCGTCTTTTGGTCTTGCTGAAATTCGCTATTCCTGGTATTTCTGCTTAAAAATATCCAACTATAAGTCAGAAACCTTTTTAATCTTTTCCTTCATTTCCCATTCAACAACCCATGGCTCCCGCATAAAATATCGTAAAAAAATACAACCCAACCCTCCAAAAAAAACTTCACAATTATAATTCTACGTAGAAATATTTATAAATCAACATACAGTAAAATAAATCAATAGCGATTTCTCGTAAATCCTCGTCGTCTTCACTCAGTTCCTCCTCCAAATCGTAATCACTATCATAAGAAGGACGATAGCGCTCAAACCCGAACTCAACTGCAATACTAAACATTCCGAAAAAAATCCAATGCCCACCTAAAGATTTGGAAACAAAATTCACATTTAAAAAACTGACTCTTTGCCCCAACTTCTCTTCCTCCTGCTGATTTTAAACTCATTTCATATTCCCGATCAAATTCTTCTTGCAGCTTTCTGGCGAGCTCTAGATCATTCTTACATTGCGCTAATTCGCTGGGGCTTAAACCGTACTGTGCTATGGACGGATCGAGACCATTTGCATCTTCTTCCTGAAGGAATCAATAGATTTCAAGATGTCAGTTGCAGAAATTTTCATTAAGTAAAACGTCGGTTGACAAATCATTTATTCCACATATACAAAGATGCAAGCAAAAAGAACTGCCAATCAATATGCAATTAATTTTCATAACGGAATTTATTTTCCTTTTTTCGCTTTCCAGAGAAAAAGAAATCATAAAACCGATTTGCTTTAGATTACAAACCATATTCTTCTTCCAATTTTAATAAAGAAGAGACGCAGGGTACTGTCTAGGTCATTTCTGTTACCCATGCGTTTAGTGTATCAATTAACAGTGCAGGTCTTAATGAAAGCGCAGATAATTATGCTACCCAGAAACGAAATAAAATTTATGCTATATAATAGCACTAACCAGTGGAAAGGCCTCAATGCAAACACCTGGAAAAGTGAATGCATTATCATTAAAGTGCAATGAAAATATGCCTTAATAAGAAGGATCCATAGGGACCCGAAAATGCCAAGCATATCGTTGGATCCTCCCAATTGAAGGCACGCTTTTCGTTGTACTTTAAGTGAATATTTTCTAAAGTAAAATTGAAAGAGTCAGTATCCATATGAGCATTCAGAAATGCTAATATAAATATTCCAGTGTTGCCTTAAGCACATATTAATCAACGCACTTCCAAAGAAAGAAAAAGACTAAACAAAGTAAACCTCAAGTTGTTCCGCCAATTCTTCGCTCATTATTTCAGCAAATGACACCACCGGTTCCACTTCTTCACTTTCCTTTCTGCACCATGCCGATTCCTTCACTTTCAAACCAGACGACATGCCTTCTAGTCTTTCACTGAGTTCAGTGAAGAAGTGGTAATAAACGAGGTATTAGCTTCCTGAAGCTTATTATAGCAAAACTAATCCAAGCTCTCCGAACCTAATTTACTTGTTTTCCATTAAAACCTGAATAGCATAGACAATTATTGTCTCCTACAAAGCTCGATAAAACCCACAACACCATGTCACATCAAAGCCGCATGGAATGCCAAATAAAGCATGTGTCATCGAACGAAACCTTTACGAAAAATATTCCATATGCTGGCCGTCAAACTGCTGGAGATTGGGCATGATAACCTTACTTAGTGATGATGGTCTGAGAGATGTGATAGCTCACAGCTGAAATGAATAGAAAATTGCAGGGAATGATGATTGCTGTGAAATATTGCGTAGTCCCACTAATTAGTTACTCCGAGGATATTGTTGCTACTGCAATATCTACGACCAAAAGCCAACAGAATATAATAAAGGGTTGGGATGGAACACTAGCAGAAAACAAGAAATCACTGTGAAATATTGCATCATTTCAGATTCAGAAATTATTTGCGACGAATGTGGGATATTTTTTTGAATTTCTATTACTTTTTACTGTAGCTTTTGCAATAATGGAAAATTTTGCCCTATAAATCTCAAAATGAAATGAGGAATAGAGTTTCTCTCTACATATCGTTACATTCATCTCATCTCTGCTCATGCAACAAGTTTAAGCCATATATATCCGCCAAATTACGAGGACCATTGAAGGGAAGAGCGGTCAACACGACTGACAAGGTAATAAATCAAGCATTAGATGACCAGTACGTATCATTAGCAAAGAACAGTGTTCAGCATGTACTCTTACATAATAACCACTAATATGTGTCTTCCATGGCAAAATGCAATCTATTCACGCCTAATGAAAAGCAGCACAGTTTCAAGCATTCCCCTTCTTATTAGCATTCCCCTTATGGAGTGGGGCAGAGACTGAAGTGAATGGGTAAACGAATGCCAACTATGATAAACTGCAGATATTACCGGGTAACGATCTTCTCATAGTAGAGCTCTAGTGTTTCCAATCGAACATTTAAAAATTACACAATTCGATACCATACACGACAATCCAATACCATACACGACTGACAATATTTACTAACTGGCTTCAATGTTTTTGTTAAGTATAGAAGAGAATGAGAAATCAGAAAAGAAAGAAATGTATTGGGCAGGCGGGGGGTGCAAGAAAATAACATTTATGGAAGTGTTCAATTTTATTTCTCACTTTAGAAACATCTTCTATATGTTACCATAAAGCATAGAAAACAAACCGAAAGTAATAGGGAAGATTGTTTTGTATTTTATATTGTGCACTCAAATCAGTTTACAATAATTAAGCAATATCAATAATAACTGCTAAAGTAACACTGATGCGATTCGTCATACTATCATTAGAATATGTGAAAAACGGTACAATCTGAGCTGAAGTCTATTCCCATTCTTAATTTCATTATAACACTCATTACTGAAACCTTAACGTAAACGAGGAATTTTCGGTATATAAGGTATTCAATGCTGCAGTTGACATTTCATCCACTCTTATGACAGTTGATTTCTTTCATGAATTGGGGAAAGTGGTAAACTCATATTCTCAAAAATGATTATCTTGGAAACTATTAACAACAATGGATTGCTCTAAAAACGAAGTAGAGAGATAGGATTCCGCAAATAAGTTATATGAATGCAACGAATAATAATGAATATGAAGGCACAAGCTGGACATCGAAACTTTATAAATATAACTTTAAAGACATATTAAGACCAAACATCTGTTTCGTAACATCGTTTCCGCTCCAAATCTTTTTGAAATTTCTGCGCTTCGATTTCGGTTTTCCCACCAACCTCCATGAATATTCGTATGAATGTATTTTGCACATCACGTGCCATATTGCGTGCATCGCTAAAATAGCACAAAAGTCCAAAAACAATCTCATAAAAACAACAAAAAAAAGTGAGGAGAAAATTTGAAGAGCGCTATAAACAAATTCAGATTCCCACAAAACTTAATTCATGTTATGAAGAAAAATGAATCAAAAATTAGTAAAACATACCCACACACACAAATATTTGCACCATCTTCAACAGCTCTCCATACCGCTTCGCGATTTTTCCAAATTTGATCTTGCACATAAATCTAAAGCAACTATTTACACTGATCGTGATTCATGATTTCTGGTAATTTCGAGTAATTTAAAGGACTGTTACTGTTCTAAATGGGATGAAAAGACGTAAACTTACTTTTTTTTCGGTAACTCTAGAAAAGGCAGTGTGTAATTCAGAAAGTACACCATCTTGAATGAACTTCTTTAGTTCTTCTTCATAAATGTAATCATGTTCCGGATGTCGACAACCGTAATATAATATCATCGGTCCAATGTCTTGGCCTAAACGACTTTGCTTCAAAAGATAACATAGTTGTCGAATAAACAAAACTTGTCAACTCCAATTTAATTGGCTAACTAAACTTAAATAAACTTTTACAAATCAACCAATACATTCTCAGTAAGAAAAAGACTGCTAAAGAAACTTGAATTTTAGTAATCAATGATTATTACATGTGAATTTCACCTTGTTTCTTTTGCCAGCTTCGCTCCTGAAGAAAACCTCGAAATGGAGCAAAACCTGTCCCAGGACCTATCATAATAACTGGTGTTTTCAATCGATTTGGCAGTCGCATTGTTGATTTTCTAACAAATATCGGTACTTTGGAGCCCTCACCCTTCAATGAAAACTGTTGATCAATAAAAATAATTTTATCAAGTCTTAAAGATTCCGAAAAAAATAAAAGGGAGCATATGTAATGGAAAAGATCCGATAAATCAGGATAAAAAAATAATAACATTTAAACATCAATATGAAATGACATGCAAATCAAATGAACAAATTTATATTCGATAAAACTTTCAGAAATTCGTTTTCAAAAGTCGAAAAGACGAAAGATAAAGAGGAGTATGAATCATCAATTCTTTATAAAGAAGTAAACAAAGAAAAAAATATTTCAGAAAGTAGGGAAAATAACTTTTTGAAGCAGAAAGTTGGTACAAACTCCTTTGATTAATCGATCGCCGATCATATACCTTGTTATAACAACTGTTATAGCCAAAGAGTTATGACTATATTTGGATGATGATGATATGCTGTAATAACGTGGCTGCAACACATAAATGCGTAACTATTTATTAAAATCATTAGATAACCAAACAACGAAATTTAAAACCAAAAATTTAAGGGCATAACAACATAATAAATGAGTGAGATTTTACTCATTTTAGTGAAAGGGCTTCCAGTGCTTCAAAATGCAATCAGATAACCAGAAGAAAAATTAAACCCAAAGATACCTGAAGACGAGGCAACAATTCTAGAACATAATCAACTGGAGGTTTACATGTCGGGAACGCACGAAGAATATCAATGATAGAGCGCCTTTCCTTCTGAATATAATTCCCATATTCCTTCTGCAAATATGAAGCCTTATTTTCGGGATAAAATTCTTGGAAAAGCAAAAGAAACTAATTCCTTTTTAAAAACTTACCAAACCTTGCTCATTAGCTGTGCTCAACAATAAAAGACGTTCTTTTTCATTTTCAGCATTTGTGAAAGAAACCAAAGCTCTTAGAACATTAGATTTAACTGGTGCACAGATATCAACGTAATGAGTGAATGCAGTTCTTATTGTACACGGACATGGAAACGGATTCCTTTTCAGGTTTTCCTCTAAAGTGACATTGCAGTGGAAGAGATTTTAATAGCAATTAAATCAAAATTTCAAAATTTGCAAACAAATTCAAGAAAGTTCTGTTCTGCAAGTGCAATGAAGAAAGAAAAATTTAATAAGAACAACAAAACATAATCAATACCATCAAGATTAACCAGACTAAAACGTAGATCCATATCGGCGCCAAGCAGTCGTCCCAATTCCTCCACCAAGACCGGATCATTTGTTGGGAAAACGCCTAAGTGATCACCTACTTCATACCTAAAAGTCTTTCATTGCAATATTCATATTATTACCAGCTTAATATTTGTGAAAAATTAGGAGTTTAGAAGATGAATCGAAAATTCAAAGAAGATGAATCGAAAATTCAAATAGCCAGCCTCATTCTTGCTTCATTGATAATAAATTCGATGTGACGACAACTTCTATCACTGCTTATACCATGTAACTCACGATTAACACTGATGGTAGCGACAAAAGGATTCTTCTGGTTGAAGGGTCTAGAAATCAAAAATCATTGTACGATAACCAAAAAAATTATTGAACTGAGCCATGATAATTCTGGTTGTTCCTCATTGTGAAGGACCTCATTGTGAAAGACAACTTCAAAAACAATAGGAAACTCACGGTCTTTGTTTTTCAAATGATCCCAAGCGGCCATATTCCCCAGCAAATAATTTAACCGAGAAATCCTCCACAATTTCAAGGCGATATTGCCGTACTAAATCTGTTTCAGCAATCTTCCAGCCAAATATAGTTGTTACAGTAGACCAAAAGCCTTCTCGCCATCTAAAGATACAAACCCTTAATTTTTGAAGAATAAATTAAAGCATTTCAAAACACAGTTCATAGTATATTATTTTAAAATGCGCAAAACAATTCAAAAAACAATGTAAATGAAATGAGAAATATAATAAAATAAACAAAAATTAAAGAAACCACAGTAAGAAAATAAACAATTATTTGAAATCCATGAGTATCAGATGAATATCAGACTTCATAAAATCCTCCTCCAAATTTCCATCATCATCACCGAGGCCAAGACTGTAAATACGTGTAGCACCGAATTCTTCCATTCGTCGGTTGAAATATTTCGCAATTTCATTGAAGTGTCCATATGTTTTATTACCTAAGCCAAAAACCTGAAAATTCTATTCCTAAAACAGCATGCCATCGCTAATATGCTAACATATCCCAACAATGCATATTAAAGTTAATCATTGTGAAGAAACTAGAATTGAGTAAATAAACCAGCGTGAAATCTATGTAATACAACATAAGCTGATTCTAACTCAAGCATTGCAAAATCTTCATAATATGTTAAATTTGCTAGTCATTTCTATCCAATATCATTAAACTAACAGCAAAATTAACGCCTGTCAAATCAAGGTCTGTGTTCAAAACATGCTGATAAAATTCCTGCGCGTTATCTGTCGGATCGCCTTCACCGTAAGTTGCCATGCACAATATCAGAAGAACACCAGGAATTTCTTTGATTTTTTCAAAATCTTCAACATTCATTTCCTCCGGATCGAGTAAAAAAGCCTGAAAAATTCCTTAATCAGAGAACGAAGTATTTTATAGAACAATATTGTAGAACAGACAGGCAAGAAAAATTAAAAATTAAAAACTGAAAAGTCCAACAATTCGACATCTTTCCTTCTCTTTTCATCCTGCCAATGAATTCAAATTCTAAAGAAATCAGCTCTTTTTTCTTTTTTAAGAACATGATTTATAGTTTTAATTTACAGTTCTATCAGAAACAAACCTTCTGACCATAATTCTGAACATCCTTAGAAAGACGACCTGCCAATTCCTCAGCTGTTCCGGTTTGTGAACCATAAATAATTAAGACCTACAAAAAATTAACCTGAATTAATAGGAAACTTTACAAAGAAGGAACGGAAAAAGTAAAGGATCCCTGAACCTTTCTTGAGTAACTCGAAACTCTGAATAAATTCCTTACATGTAGGAACAATTTTCTTGAAGGGAAGTGTAGCATAAAGAGCAGACTTCATATCTCAAAAGAAATTCTACAAAACCTTTTAAAAATCTTCAAATGTTTCCAACTCACAAAAATAATTTAAACAAGAAGGATTAAAAGATGGAAAAATTAAGATAGTCCCGTAAAAGGTCAACTTGATAACAGAAAAATAAAAATTGATCACCTTCCGTTCCTCCGATTTCATACGTGCAACAAATGAAGTTTGTCGATCAAACGAACTTTCGGAAGAAATGTATGGTGGCAGAACAGTTGATGTGAACTCAGTGGTTTTTTTGATCCATAACTTGCATGAATAATATACCGTTGTTAGCAGTATGATAGTTAAAACAATCAGATCAATTACATCCAATCGCGTTCGTAACCAGTCTATCAGTGCCATCGTCATCACAGTTCTCATTTGATTTTTTTAGTACATTTCCTCCAAGACTGCAAAAAAAAAAATTAAAATTAATACCAGCTGTGAAATTCGTACAAAATTAGTAGAAAGGTACGAGTAATGTACATTAGTGATAAAAGAAAAAAAATCTTTGATAATGTTTAAAATTTGATTCCACCATATTCTCATCTCTTGATTCATGATGGAAATGGCAACATTGCCAAACAAAGTTGGTGAGAATAGAAATGATGTGACAAAAAATGATTTAAAAATGGGAAATACTGCGAAGTCCAATTACCGACCAGTATTTTTCGATTTCTTATTGCGCTTTGTAGCAATGTCATAAATGCGATAGTTTTCTAGAACTGAACAATAATCTGACTTTTATCGGAAGAGCAGAAAAATCTTCTGTTCATAAGACTTATAAAAGAAAACCCTAGAATTTTGAGCGTGAATGATCATTTTAACTAATGCTAGCCAAATCAAAGAATAATTTTAAACGATTTTACAAAGAGAAAATATTGAGGGAAGACAGTTTGCATATTCGCTTACCGATCATTAATTATGATGATAACCTTTCACACGTTTTTAACGCTAAAGATGCATCTAAAAAAAGACATACCAGACGAACGAACGGAATGAAAGGTATGCGCTCTCGTAACTCCATATTGTATCTCTTGATTATTAAAACCGGTCTCTCTTATCAAACCAGACACTATTATTTCTCTTCATCCATATGATCTAAAAAATAATTCACTCCTTTCAAATTTTTTACTTCCCATTCCAAAAAATGGCGAATGCAACTAAACATAGAAGTATGAAGTGGAATATAACAAATAACCAACATAACTGTTACATCTATTGCCAATTTTTATGAACTATGTTCATTTGACTATTAAGCTCTTTACTATCGAATGGACAACAACAGATCATAAAGGATGATAAAGTCATATAAACATAAATGTTCTATCAGAGGGATAGAAAGCAATGAAATGACTAATGACGCAATAAGGAAATGACTAAAGGCACACTTCCTAATTTTACTTCATCCCTGCATGTGATCATAAAAAATGGCTCCTATCATGAAGCATTTTGCTATTTAACTTCATAAATGAAATGAAAAGTTTTAGTTTGAGAGTTTAGTATCAGCAGCGAATAAGAAAACGAAAAATTTAAAACAATGAAAAGTAACAGTGATTTCATTCTGACAAAATATTTAACTTGCAACAGTATTCGAATTTATATTTAACGTTGGTAAACTTGGTTGAAACAGCAAAATCAGGAAATAGTAGGAGAATGGGTTGGTTGAATGTATTTTAGCTTGCACTATATTTGTTATTCGACATATTGGTCATCATACCATCTAAACGTTTCATTCTTTTCAACTTTCGAAAATTGCATCATATAACTGTTCCGTTTCAAACATTTGAACTTCGGCTCATTTTAAGAGATTGTGAAGAAACACATTGAATTTGAGAAATTACTCAAATGTGAAAGTAGGAATGCTGGATGATATTTAAAGTTAGACTCAGATAAAAAGAAAGCTAATCATCGAATACAAGTACATACATGACCTATCGCATGTTTATTTATAAAGAATTAAATGTCATAAATTTTGGAAAACTTTATATTTCATTTCATGCACACTTAATACGATAAGTTAATAGGACATGAAATTGGAGGTAGTCCAGGATTGAATTGCAGTTCAGGATTTTGGAATCGTAAGTAATCAACTCTCTTGCTGTTATAATTAATATCTCGTTAAAAACCAAAACTAAAGTAGCACAAAAGTCCATATAAATCATCAAATAATTCAATCGGTGAAAAATAAGATTAGATGTATTTTTGGAGTCCTGTAAATGATTTCACCGAAAATAGTTGGGAACCCAATTATTGCCAACTTCTCTTTCATCATCGAAATCGGAAGTAACAAGTTCAACGAACTCCTAAATTGTACATTACTTCCACATAATCACTCTCCTCTGCATTACTTCTATTTGTAATATCGTCCTAGCTTCACGTACAATGAATTCCCTCGAAAACAGCTGTAGGCCACACTCAGCTGAACACACCGATTATAATTCCCACACTTTCTCGATCACATCATCCCATCCACCACAGAATAAAGAAATGCTAGATCCCTATCCACCGATTCATATCTCGCTGTATCTTGATCCACGCATCCAAGTTAAATACCGGTCTTCGCTTAAATATCAGTAATACTATTCAATAATAATGCTTGCATCCATCTAACTCAGAAAATCCAAGAACTCAGCACTTTCACCCAACACAAATGGAGATATACCTAGCTTAGACCCACAAAAACTTCCACTCTGACAATTCAGATGCAAAAACATCGATTCGCCTTCCTATGAAAAAACTTCTACAAAAGACAATCCCATCACCCAGAAATGCATAGAAGGACCTAAAAAATTGAATTTTCTGGTGTTCATCGCCAATTTTTCATATATAATGCACTCAACAGAAACAAAGAACATTTTATTATGGTTTATAATATCATACCAAATATAACAATGAAACGAGAACGAACACCATTTTCAAATGATTCTTCAAATTTTAAAAACCGCTTGGTATCAAACCATCACGCTTCGCAAGACGCAAAATGCAATCATCCGATTCACCCATACGCCGAATTTCTCCACAGATTGCGTATCTGTACAAGAGAAACGTTAGCTCATAAGCTTTAGATAAAAGAATTGTAAATTAAGATTTCCCCTTGAAAAATTAACAATTTTTAAAAATAGATCAGAAGTGCAACTATGCTTTCTGTAAAGAAGTCGATCTCTCCAGTAAATGAAACTTATTAACCTGGAAATAAATTAATTTCCTCTAAAATTATCTTGAACGATTATGAAGTTCCGGGAGAGCAATCGACAGACACATTGGCGCTCATATTCAAGTACTTATACCTTATAACTTTTCCTGGTACCATGCGTCCAGTTTTAGGATCTACATCGACCAAGTCGATTTGTACTGCTGCATGATCAGTTGCTGCGATGATACGCGATGATGAGGAGCATTTTCTTGGTATGTATAGCTCAACAAGTGCTCCTTCGTCGTTTTGCATAATCAGAAAATGAAAACTGATTAATTCTCCTGCAATCTATTCTGTGAATCTCGATATTAAAGGAAGATGGGTAAATCGAAAAATATATTGCGATGAAAATTGCCGTCATCCCACCAAATAAACTGATGTTATACCATCAACTGCGTTGGAATGCACGAAAAATTATGACAAAATAGAGATTGCAGTTCAAAGATATGACGCGAAAATAAGTACTAATGACAGATATGAATATCATTCATTATGGGAATAACATCGTCATGTCAGACTAATAGAGAAAAAATGCGATGCAACGTAATTTTTGGAGCAAAAATGAAAAAAAAATGAAAAACTAAGCCAAATGGAATCATAAAAGAAACCGATCAAGGGAAAAAAGCAGTTATCATATGGATACCAACAACAGGAAATCAAAAAAACCTTAGTTAGTCGTACTTGTAAAGTAACAGGGAATTTTTTTCCTCAATTTCACCGGGTAAAAACGTTGGAACCTACGCTTTATTTTGAATTAGTTATATAGCTACGAGTGCTGAATAAATGTTGTTAAACACAACGCAGGCTATGAAAATGACGGACATAGGTTCATCAATGATCCCCAAAATCTTTTTAATTGTCCAAGACAACTTAACATGAGAAATTGTGGAATCGCTTAACAGCGATTCCACAATTTCTCATGTTTTCATGTTCTCTAGAAAAGTATTACGAAATAGAAATTCAGAGCTCATGGTAGCAAACGGGAAACAGTAAAAAGTGGGATTTCAGAAATTAATTCCAGCAATTCGTCAAGTGTGTCAAGGAAACTCGTCTTTGTCAAACCTGAGATAAAAATAATCGCTGTCATCGAATTAATCGTTTGAAATATAAAATATACCTTTGAAAAACTAGCATATGAGTACTTCAGCCATTGTAAAAAAGTAAACGGTTTCAAAACCATCAAATGATACAAACTACTGGTGTCCAACGCATCTCTACCCAGTCCAATCAATCCATAGTTTCAAAACACTCAACTTTCCTCATTTGTTTGCCTTACTTACACAGCCATATCCCATTAAAACTCTGAATTTCATAAAACGGTCAATCCACATCTGTCGATATTCACATCTGTTCATACACGAAATGAGAAAGTTCCGCTCAACAGGAGACAACCTGACACCCTTCCCTCTAAATGAACATACACAAACCCATTTCATAAACTTCGATCATGCGTATCATCGCTATGTAGCAATAATATCCCACAGAATGTCTCTAACCAGAGGACTAAAAGTGATAGGAATGAATTGAGTGAGCCAGGGAGTTCAAAGGGTCATGAGAATGAATTCCAATTAGCTTTCTAATTTAAGGTCATTTTTCGGATGTTTAATCGTTCATATGAAGGAAACACTGCAATGGATGATGAAACACATCTAATCTGAATTGTATTATGTAAGCAAAGAGGTAAGAAGGATTGAAATTAACAACGTCTTGAATTCTTTGCTTCTTCTCAATGTTCTAAACATTTTCATTAGATTCTTTACTCTTTAAAGTCTTGAGGTTAATAGGAGCTTTGTTTCCTTTTTTTCTTGAAAATTATGAATTTTTAAACAATACAATCATGAATACTGGAAAAATAAGATTAAGTTATATCATCAAAGAATTCGATCAATAAAAACAATAATGCAATATCAAACGAGATAATTGTAGCAATGATAATTAGACAGTGATAATTCAATTGATTCAACGGTAAAAAAAATGAATTTGATCACAGATATTGCGGATATTACGTAGCCAGTAGGAATAGTTTTAAATCAGAAATTTTAGAAAATTCTTTCCTTATTTCCAAAATTTGAAATCATTTTACATTTTCAAAATTATTGCAGACACTTATTTATGATAAAATTCTTGAGCATTTTGTTTGTGGTAATTTGATATTATTATCCAATTTTTAATAATAGCATGATAAGGAATTTGGATGTATCACAAATTATCAATTATCTAGAATGACCGTGATGATATATGACCTAATTACTACAATTAAATTAACACAAAGAATAGTAATATGAATTTTTGAACATTTTGAAACACGCATGGATTTTTCTTTACTGTTAAACTTTCTATAAATAAATAATTACTAATTTCGATATAAATTAAATTTTATCAAAAAAATTTTGGACAACATTGTAATATTTCGATTCTGTTAAGATGTCTAAATCTTTTCTAAAATTTATTAATATTAATTGAGGGAATTTCAGCAGTCACTCATACATTCGTATTAATTATTCATTGCTATATTTTACACATTGGATAAATATTTAGGGAAATAAAAAACTAATCGAGGTTTACTTCTCACTTTTCTAATATCATCAAAAACTATCAAACTCTTTTAATACAAAAAGCATGAAACAATTTACAACGAAATTATCAAGAATTCAATCCAATCACTGACATTTGTTACTAATAGAATTCTGGATCTAATCCAGGAAAACCAAATTTTTCATACCGGAAGCAATTTAGTCATACATGATAATAATAAAGTTTATTTTTATTAGTAATTGATTTTTTTGCAGGAGAAACAATTTAATGAATAATAAATTATTTTGAGACTTATTGATTTTTATTTAATTCTGACCTTTACGGCTTTGTTCTTAAACATAAAAAAAGTTTTGATGAAAATATATTAATAGCAGTGAAGCATATGTTAGAGTCCATTTCTATCATTTTGAGTCATAAAAATATTGAACTATAATCAACTAATGATTGGAAATGTCCGTTGATGACCATTAAAGAGTTCTAATAATGTAGTATGCCACATTCATCACATTTCAAGGTTACAAGAATTTATCAATGAATTTTGACACAATACGATTTTGAGTTACATTATTTATTCATTCCAATGAAAGTATTTGATAGCATCAAAAACGACAAATCTATCCAAAAGATTTTTGAAATAATTCACTACGTAAAATTACAAATAAGATTGATATAGTGGATTGAACTGAATATGAAATAACCTTTGAACTGTCACCCTCTGAACACTTTTTCATAACTGAAAACTTTTTTCGAGTGAATAAATAATATATTGTGTCAAAATTTACTGATAAATTTTTGTAACCTTGAAAATTATTAGAACTTCTGATTAATCTTTAATAATCATCAACGAACATTTCCACATCATTAATCGATTATAGTTTAATATTTTTATGATTTAAAATGATAGAAATAGGACATTTGCGCATAATTAATTGATCAAATCAAATACAGTAAGATCGATAAAATATGATCGTATGACAAAGTATTCGTTAAATAAAAAATTATAAATAATTGATCACATAAGATTCTAACAACATTTTCTTTGCCTTTTTTATATCAAATGAAAATTTCTTTTGATTATTAAATTTTAGTATCGAAAAAAATTTTTTGCTTAATATATTTATCAATTTCAGATTACAATAAAAATATTTTATTATAACTTTATTACTTTATTATATTTACTTTATTATAATTTATTTCATTTCATTTTTTATTTTAATAAACAAAAGTTCAATTTTATAAAAGACAAAATATCATTAGAAACATTTACAATTAAATTATAATTCTAATTAATTCTAATATATTTAACGGTTTTTATAAAAATCTGTCAATTTTACTACAAACAAAACGCATTTTTCAAATTACTAAAAAAATATTACAAAAATATTGAAAGCTTTAATAATTTATACTAAAAAATTTTAATTTTAAACATCTCAAAATGAAACATTTAAAGGAAAAAATTTTTTCCACAATTTGCAACAAATTTTTGATAAATTGTTATGTTGGAGTAACTGCATGATAGTTCTTTGTTTTTAACATTACTTCTTTTCTACCTCTCTTATATAATGCTTTGATGATCTACATAATACTCTTCATCCGTTATCTTCATTTTCAAATTTAAATTTAAATTTTATTCAGGTCTATCTAAAAAATAGATAGTGTTTCACTCGATCATTTCAGTTCTTTATTCATCATTTCTGATAAAACTTCCTTCTTCAACAACTGAAATAATTTAAATGGTAGATCTATTATTATAGTTTGGTTTTATTTTTATTATGAGGATGACATAAGCGATAGCAACAACATTCCGAATCTCAATGATTCTTTATCTATTCCGTAATGTTACTGAGATCATTGCTGCTATCTGTTCATCTACGGGGATTATCAGCGATTATAAAAGTTGTAAGTTGTGGGATGATTGGCAATAGCGATAACGCAGGTAGAAAATATATGTTGATATCATAGAGAGTTGACTGATTGCCACTATTTAATATTGAGTAATTAATCATTTCAAAAAATTTTACTGTAATAATTCCTCCATTCAATGTATAGTTTTTTCCACTAGCTTTGTCCTAAAAGAAAAAATAAACAAATTTAGTTTTTTTCTACACTACAATTGTGACAGGTAGTTTTGAAAAAGAATCCGTTATTATTTGTGAAAAGTATTGTTGATTTAATAAAGTGAAATTAGAACCTGTTGAATGTATTACGACGTAATAAAAGCTATTGATCATATCTTGACAGATTCAGAAGATCAACCATTAATAAGAGATATTGTAAAAAAAGTAAATCAAACGAATGAAATCTAAAAATCACAATGATAATAAATATTCATTCAACGATTACTGATGCTGAATTCATTGATGGAATGAAATCTCTTATGAAATTGACCATTACCGCATGAGACTGGTCAATTCATTAGTTCTTTTTTTTAAGAGAATTTCCAAATTTTATGAAATTCATATTGAATATGGCGAGAACTTCTAAACTATTGCTTTAATCAATGATCAAATAAACTGAGATCTAATCAATGATCAACTAAAATTCTCCCATGCACAAATTTCGCATTATGCAACATTGTAAAAGGATATATTAAAGAATCAATCACATTATTTTCTAATACCGAAATTGAATTTTGAAGTAATGAGAAAATTTAGATGATTGTTATGCTGTACGATGGATTTATCATGTCGACAAACTTAAAGCAAACTTGAGGAAATTCTGTCATATTGCTCCATTGACGAAAAAATCAAGGTTTAACGATTTTTAATCGGACGTGAAATTTTTAGCAGCGTTTATGTTATTCAAAGGTTTCTTTTCTCCGTGTCATATCACACAACAATATTTCTATGTCAGATTAGCTTCTATTTTCTTAATGAAGCAATGAAAAGAAATCTGTTCAATATCTTTGACGCAATTAGTTGCGAATTAAACATTGACATACGGATGGATGATAGCGTAGCGATGATACTCGCATCATTCATTCTTATAAGTTACATTAATTGACAGCAAAAAATATCTGAGATTTGCTAAGTCTCATATCAAAGTGCTAGCAATGGAGTTAGCAAAATTATCGATTCAGTGATTTGATCGATGATTCTTCTCAACTCAGTAATTCTTCCGGTTGGAATTTCCGGAAAATTGTACAATTTCCAAAATTCCTGTAAATTTCGTTTCCTCTTTCAGAAGAAGGATAAGTGGAGCTTATTTTGGGCAAATAATTTTTTAAAAACTTATATAAACTTCAAGAAATGGGTAACAAAATATAAAGCAAAAACAAACAATAAAAAAAAAGAATGACCAGAGGGATGACCTGCACAAATACATTATTAGCGTCTAAATAAACGGAACTAAAATATTCTGTTTCGATAAGGCACGGGAAGTGGTGAGGTATGAATTTAACGAACGTTTTCTTTCGATGGAAATATCATGAAAATGTTTTACAGAGGTAGTCTTTTGAGGCATTAATTGGAGATCAAATATTGATTGTAATTAATTAATTATATATTCTATTCTGAGAAATCAATAAAAAATTCCGACATTCTGTAACATAAATATTAGATGTAATTAATCAAGAACTATTCGAAATTCAGTAAAACCTCCTGCCATTCCCGAAGAAAAGTTTTAAAGTTCGGAAAAAAAGTATTGCATGCAACTCGAAGAAGAAAAAAAATAATTTTAAAGATCAAAAAAATATTATAACTGAAAATGATGTAGCCATAGAAAAATTGAAGAAATTGTACTATCCATAAGATATTAACTGGCAGAGAAACAAAATTGATCCGATATGGCAACGAATAATAATAAAATACAGATGGCAAAAGAAAATACATACACACATACATATATATCGTTCAAATTCCAACAGCAAGAAAGAAATATTTAAAATGCGTGAGCAAGCGAAACTGAGCATGTTATCTAAAAGTATTCAACAATTCCCGAATAGTCGATATCTCTACCAAATCATATTCTTCTTTAAGAGCATTTCGATTTAGTTCAATTTTTTAATTTTTATAATTATGGAATTTCACCAATATTATTAGTGAACTGATATCGAGTTAACGATAATATGATCACCATTATTCATTGATAACGATAGCTATTACCAAGTGTTGCAGTCCGATGTTGACGATCATGTTGTTCGTGTCGTACGAGATCTTCAAGTGCACGAATATCTAATCGAACCGATCCAGCATATGTCAAAAAATCTCGAACATCTAAATCAAGCGATGCTAATGATCGCCGACGCCAACCTGTAATCATATCTATCAAAATGTGATAATTCCATATTCAAATCGATCATGATTTGTATTATTAAATTTCACTTAATTATGATTTATCAAAAGCTTATAAGTTATTTTGTATAAAAATAGTATGAGAAAAACAAACTAAATAATATTAAAAAAACATACAAATAACATATTCGTTAAGAAGTATCGGTGGAGTAGACGAACTTTCGAGAGGTATTGGATTGTCTCGGAAATATTCCAGGAGATCAATCATTGTCTCAAAAATCATCTGATGAATGCGGCACTCCCCATCAGGCAACACTACGATCCGTACGTGCTGTAATTAGTAAAATAAATTTTCAATCTATCACTGAAAATATAAATTATCTAACATTCGAATATACCATTTTCAGTTATTTTCTAGTACAATTTCAATAATTTATAATTAAAACAGGTAAGTACTAACTTGAACGAATTGTCAAATTGACATGAAGAAGACGATAATAGATTTAGTTAACAAATAGCAATAGATTGCGCATATAATACAATTAGAACCTTAGCTTTGCCTTGACAATTGAATGTCAATACAAATTCACCAGGACGTGTTTCACTTTGACGTACAAGAAATAATCCATGTCCGTCAACTCCACTGTGAAGCACTAATCGAGCACTTACACTACGGGACAAACGCGCATGAAACCATGGATAGGTTTCCAGCCCTGGTATCGAACCATTTACTGCTTTTATCGGAATTCGTGTTTCCATTCCTGTTGATCCCATCGAATGAACATTGTTTAATGACCTGAAATTTATTAGAATAAAGATTTTCAAATTTTGAAATTTCGATTGTAAGACATTCTTCAACAATACAATTCAGCTATTTTATCATTAATGATGAAATTCTGTTTGAAAAAATATTTAAAATATTTGATTTCATCAGCCATAGAAAAGTTTCATCCGAGTTGAGTTAAAAGTTTCATATTTCGATAATCTAAAAATTAATTTTTAAAAGGGAAAAAGATTCAGAAATAGGAAATTCAAAGAGGAAACAGATCAAGTGTTCATAACTTTCTCATGTTAAAAATTTAATTAATAGAAATAAAATGTCGTAATTCTAGCATTTTTAAAACTTCAACTTCTTTTTTTAAATTAGATACAAAAAAAAAATTCACCTCATCGAAAAAAATTGTCGATTACGAAGAAAGCTAGAGCCAGTTGGTGGTGCAGAAGGTTGTCGGACAAATTTATGTGTAGAATTTGGGTCATTCTCCGATATACAACCTCGTATTACACTTAACCATTGCTGACAGTCATCCGAATTCCTTGCCTCAATCACATATTCCACCTAAAAATTTTTCTATTAAAGGAATAAATTACATTATGTGTAATAATTAATAACAGCATCAATTAGAAAATTGAGAAAATAAACGCTTTATTCTTTTAATAATTGAAAAATCATAAAATCTAATATAATGGGTTGTAATTAATTACGAACAGCTAAAACAAACATCGTTATATCCCCGAATAGCAAATATCGATTCGTTTCCTTCTTCAAATTCTAACGGTGTTGTTTCCCGAACTTCCATTATCAGAAAGCAAAAAATGCCTGATTTCGCTCGACTGCTCTAAAAATTATATTTAATTAAATGGATAGAGCAATTTCTTACAATTTGAATAATTGTAACATTTTCAAGATATATAATGTTCCAACTGAAATTTTATATAATCAAAGAATATTTTATATTATTTCAAATTTTAAAATTTAAAATCATTCAAATGGATAATTGCGTACTCTAATGATACTTATATTAGTGAACAGACATTTTCGAAAATATCGCTTAATGAATAGCTAAATTAATTATTTATTATAATAGAATTAATTTCATAAGCAAAGAAAAGATCTTAAGATTAGAGAAATTATTTGAAAATTTTTTTAAATTTTGCATACTTTGGGTGGCGAATAGAACTCGAGCAAATATCCTCCAGCTGTTTTCACAAGACATAGCCGACATTTTCGCCATTGTTTCGTTTCAAGCTCTAAGCCACTCATATATCTGCAACTAAACTATTATCGACAAAGAAAAAAGACTTTAAAGAATTTCAACTATTTTTTAACATTTGTTTGGCAAAGACAAAGATTAATCTAAGTTAATATTTGAGTAGTAACGATTTAAGAAAAGTTCGTAGGCTTATAATTATTTAAGTAATATTTTAATTCAAACAACATTTTGTTAAATTAAATTAAATTGCTTTTCCGCCTTTCCATTTGCGCTTCTTAATCGAACTAGAAAAAGCCAATAGAAAAGTTTATTGGATTATTTGAAAAATGAATATTTGACGAAATGAAAATATTCTATAAATGATTGAAATGCATTGTCTCATACCTTACATTGCCCTCTCGAATCAGTTCAACCGTTGTTTTAGCTTGAAAATGTGATCGAAACCAAGAAAGTCGCTTGGTTGATGGACGACTAGAATTTGAGGATGCCGGTTGATGTTGAATCATTGAGTCTGCCTGAAAGTTGAAAGACTTTTTGCTATTATTAATTCAATATGAAAATTTGAAAAAAGTTAAGAATGATGGTAGGATTTCAAAAATTCATTTCAGATCATCAATTTTTAGGAGATCGAACCTATTTCAATTGTAAATTCAGAAGGAATCATAGTTTTATCATACAAAATCACGATATTATCTTTTTTTTTTACAGAAGAGAATTAACGGTAATTGAAAAAACAAAGTAAGCGATGGAACTGACAAGCATATTGCGCCCTCTTGAGGCCATTTCAGACCTTGATCGTGATAACCAGGTGATATCAGCAATACTCGCTGGTCGTTCATATTCATTCAGAGATCGCCAATCACATGAGCGATCACGATAGCTAACATTATCAGCAGTTGTATGATTGGATGAAACATTCTGAAAAATATACAAACATAAAGGTCTCTACAAAAATTGACCATCAGTAGTTGACCGTCTCAATTATCACAAAAGGTCTGTTCTTTTCATGCAAATGTAAAGAAATGAAGAGAAGAAAAGAATTCAATGATCAATAAAAGACAATTGAGATTAATCACTTAACGTAACGTAAGTATATAATGAATATTTCTAATATAAATGCTATAATATCACTGCCAACTACGAATCTTTTTAAACCATCTGAAACTAATGATAATGACGTTTAGCATTGTAACTTTCTTACTAAAATTAGTTGATCTTTGTACTGTGCAAAAAACAGGTGTGATGTCAGGTTACATCACGTTATATCATGTTTCACGTTGAGAAATGTGCATTGTGCCAACTTACATACATTAATATTGAAAACTTATGATGATATGATGATACTATTGAACGTTCAATGTTGTGAAGTGAGATGTGATTGGAGAAGTAAACAATTTTCGAGAAGTAAACAGGTTAATGAAGGTATTATTTGAAAAATGAATAAAGTGAATAATATATAGTGTTAGGAATTGCTAGGCAATTTATCAAACTCTATCTAATTAAATTTCTAATTTAGGCCTATTAACTTTAAAATTTTCAATAGATGATAGCATTGTTTCCAACTAGACTTAAGTTCTTTCAAATATCTTACCCTAAATCCTAATCTTTCTCACACTATTCATTCATCTAAACTAGGAAAAGGGTAAAGTTGACAAGTTATGAATACAGAGAGAAGAAATATCGGGAAGAAGAATATAATAATATTCAACATTTCTCATCATATGATATAAGCAAATGAATTAAATTAATGAAGCTTAAATAAATAAAATAAAAAAGAAAAATAGAAGAGGAAATTGAAATTGAGGAGGTTGGAATAATGCATATTGACTGAAGAAAGGTAATTACAGGTAAAATAACATTTGGAGTTGTAAGCCTTTCTGTCAATTCGTCACTTAATGTATTGGTAAATTGTTGAATAATATCCGAAATGGGAACATTGCTTTGAGTGATACCAGCACTTGTTGAATATTGCTGCCAACTTTCCGCAAATTTGAAAGCGACTGACTTTGCGTACTGCATACAAAACTGTCGCCATCTGTCACTCTCTTGAGCTAAAATATTAATGCAACCTGATCAATTTTAATTCTTCAAAAACTGTCATAATTGAAATTAAATTTAGTTGAATTTTAAATCTTGAGCGAAATTGTCCGCTTAAACTTTTTAATTTTTCATTAGCTCAATTCAGGTAGATATGTTATGAGCATAATATAAGTTGATCGTTTGAGCAATGAAAAGAAATATCACTGATCCATTTGATAAATCATTATCGCAAGAAAAAAGGAGAAAAGGACATTTGAAATAAATTCCGTTGTATTCAATATGCTTAATTGTTGTTGTTTTAAGGAGTGGAAAGATAAAGTAGTAAACATTTTTCGAGAGAGAGAGAGAGAGAGAGAGAAGAAATAAAATAAAGTTTTAGAAAATTTAATTTTTACTTCATTTATTCATATATTAACCTTAGATTTCTTATTTCTTAATTAAGAATTACATTTTTTCTTAATTGATATTTTAATATTTAATTATGTTAGATGGAAAAATTATTGGAAAATAATTTACATTTGTATAATATACTTATGAATAATAAAGTTAAAATAAGCAATGATAAAATTAAAAGAATGACTGATTAAATAATTAATAGTTTTCAAATGAATTCTTACCTTCCATTCAATGTTCTTTCAAAATTCAGCACCACTTTCTGTTTTACCGGTAAATTTTATCCGTTAAATAACTCTTACACTTTCAGCATTCAAATAAATCATTCATCAGGAAAAAAAAATCGTTTTAAATCGTAGTAATAACCATTTTCAGTTTGCAGAATAAATGTTGCACATTATTCAGAAAGTATTCAGCTTATTATGAATACAATATGATTAATTAATCGTTCAATTAATAAATCAATCGTAACAGCATGTTATAAAATAGATACACTCCAATTTATCGAACATCAAATTCTTGTCCTCTTTCCGATATTACGGAATTGTTTGTTATGATTTAATTTATGTTTCCGATCCAATCTAAATAATTTCTTTTATTCTTTCTGAAGAAAATTTAACCTAAAAATATTTAGCAAAACAATTTTTAAATATATTACTAATAAATGTTTAATAAATATAATATTATGCAATACTATCAATTACAGAATTGACAATTGAACTTATCAAATATTATCAAAATTATTAAGAAATTTGAAAAAGAATATAAAATTGAAATTTAATATTCCATTGTTAGATATTGCTCGATGGAATTTGTTCGATGAAACAGATATCTCTCAACTATATTTTAAGAAGAGTTCAATATTTTCAATGAATGTTGCACTTTTATGTTTGAATGGATTGTCGAAAACCGAATATAAGAAATGTTTAAATAATTAATGCATTTTTAAATTCGTGTTGTTTATGTTTTAAAAATTCTTTGTCTCAAATATTCTCTCAGTAAAATGATTCGATATACTTTTGTTTAATATATTAATTCATTACTCTAAAGAACATTGTAAATAACATCAAATAAACTCATCTGTTTTATCTGATTATATATATTTAAGCAATTTCCTGTTAAATATCATTTTTAATTATAAATTGTCTATTTAATTATAAATTAATACCGCTAATGGTTTATATCTAATGACCTCTTGTTTACCATTAGCCTCTTGTATCAAATGACCTTATGTTCTTTTTTTTGTACCACTAAAGTTCGTCTACAAGATGACCAATTGATTATTTACTATAAAGAATGCTTATCGAGCACCGCCCAATTACAAAGGAACGATATTTCAGTATTTGGGAGCTTACTCCTGCTCCCAAATCAAATGGTCTTGCTATCTACACTAATCTAAACCAATTCCTCAATTATCCTACCGTACCAACAGTAAAGAAGAATAACGAAGTGATCAATCGATCCAATTGACTATACCTTCTGTTAACTGTCAGGAAGAATAAACTCATTTTCTATCAAGAATAAACCTTTCCAACAATCTTTGTCTCCGAAAAACAACAAACTTTTCAAATCAAAAAGTTTCACGATACAGGTAATTTTCAACACTATAACTTGGTTAACATTAGCTATAGGTCATCAACTATGAAGCTCATCAAATTTTTGGCCAGCTAAATTACTACTAAATTAAACATTTCTGATTAAGCAAGCAGAAATGGCAACAACCAACAGAAGTAAATTTTCTGGATTTAAAGTTTTCAAGATATAATTTATGTTGGAATTATCTAACTACTTATCGCTCTTATAAAATTTAAATAGAAATTTGTGAAGACATAGTTAACAAATCATTGATGTTCATAAAGGAAAGATAGAAATTTCAATTTAAATTTCAAAATTTTATAGCAATGCAATTTAAATCATTCTATAATTAAACAAGAGAATTAAACAAAATTTTAAAGATAGTTCATTGATTTAAAATATCTAATGTACAAATTTTTTCATCCTTAATTTAGAGAATGATAATTTGATAATGAAAAGATTATCAAATTAACTTTCTCACATATTCGATATTTTCAATTCTTAATCAATTCTTCAAACAAAGCCTTCTGATAAGGAAAAGCTATTATTAATAAACTGAAAATCTTTTCATTTTCAAAACGAATATTTCAATAATAAAATAATTTAATAAATAAAAAAGAAAAGAATTATTTTTGAAAAATTTAATATGTTGAAATCTCTTTTAATTTCCACATTTTGTGAAGAATTTTTTTAAAGAGAAATAAAGAAGAGAAATGAAAAAGAAAAAGAAAATAGCAATTAAAATGAATGAATGATAACCTGAATGATATGATATTAATAATAGTTGAATAATAGGAATGCAACAAAATCGGATAGATTGAAATGATGCCGGATTAAAGAAGAGATTTATAAGAGTTTTCAAACGATTGATAGCTAATAGATAAAAATCCATTAATTTCTTTCCTTTTTCTTTTTTCTCACTTATTTTCTTGTTTTCTATCAAAAAAATGAACGGAAAAAAAAACGAAAAGGAAAACCGGAAATAGAATAATAAATTAAAAGTGTTGCAGAAGAGGAAGAAATTTCAGCATATTATTGTGATCGAAGAAAAATTGCTAAACAGAATCTAATCGCTGATTATTATTATTACCGTTATACATTAATTTTTCTTACTAATAGTAATAATAATAATAATAATAATAATAATAATAATAATAATAATAATAATAATAGGTATATTTGTTTAGTTCAATTTATAAAATTATTTAAACTATAATGTTATTGATGATTAGAAGTTATAAATAAAATGTTTTCAAAGTTCTTTCAAATATTGTTCAAATGAAAAAGAAAGAGAAAAGAAAGAAAAAGCCGCCATAGAAGTAATATATTGTAAGCCTCCAGATGTACGGAAATACATTGCTTTCATATCATTTGATTTATGAAACCAAAAAAAGATGTAATTTTTTCCGGAAACCTTAAAATATTTAATTATTATTAATTCACATTTGTTTCCAGCACCAAACTATCAATTTATAATATAATAATAATTCATAATTTCTACAATTAAAATAGCAATCTTTATTTTAAGATATTCAACATTTTACTAATTAAATCGATTTATTTTCCTGATCAAGAAAAGATAATCGATAATATGCATTTTTATTTTGTTAATTATCAAATAATTTAATAATTTTTTTATTTAATAAATTAATAATTGTCAAATCATTTTTAATTACTACCTAACGATATTGATATTACCATATTATCAGTGACTGTCAGTGTTTAATAAATTAATTTGATAATAGCGTGTTATTTGTTGAAATCTATCGATTAAATTTATCACTGACAGTGTGATAATATCATTAGTTAGTAATTAAAAATAATTAGATAATTATTTCATTTATTAAATATCAAAATTATAATAAGAACTAGTTTAACCTAATATATTTATCCTACAATTAAAGGAATCTTTCTGACAATAAGAAATAATTTCTTTTTTGTTATAAACAAAAATCATTTAACATAGTTTTTTAAATAAGAGGAAGAAATGTATGTTATACTTATGAAAATTTCATTTTGAAAGAAAAATTTTAATTTCATCATTTCATCATTATGTCAGTGAAATTTTTGTTCTTTCAACAACAAGAAAAAAACCGTTGAATTTACTGCAAAAGATTTATGCTTATAGCAAATAAAATTACAACAAATTCTTGTTTTCCCCTCCTTCACAATAAAAATGCTTTGAATAAAAAGTTATAAGCAAATGCTTCTTTCCTTCTTGCTTATTTAAAAATTGATTCTTTTTTTTTAAAAAATGCTAATTTAAAAACTGAAATAAGCAAGAGCTTTGTTGTTGCTGTTGTTTGTTTAATTTAAATTTAATTACAAAATATAAAGATGGGAAAAATTAGGCTAATATAGTAAATTTTAAAAAATCAAAATGAAATTAAATCTTCCTTTTTGTTATTTGAAAGGAATGAGAGAGAAGGATAATGTGAGCAAAAAACGGAGTTGAGGAATTCAAATACATCTGTTGAAAATTGCTCACCAAAGAACGAACAACTGATGCATGAGCTGATCACAATTGCTGCAATTTCACTTACACAGTCAAAATATCACAATAAATTTTAGTTAAATTTTAAAGTGACCCAAATCAATTTAAGAGATGATAAAATGATATCAAATATAAATCTTTATGATAAAAGAAATTTTTGAATGAAATGATTTGAATTGAAATTCTTCCACTTCACAGCTATTAAGAAATGATTTGATTTCATTTTGAAAAACAAATCTCAAAGTTTAATTTCTCTTAGAGACATTATAATTTTAGCATTCATCATGAAATACACTTTCATTCATTCAATCAAAGAGTCTAAAAATAATGTTTGAATGCAGCACAACTGTCACTCAATAATTCACACAAGTAAATTACAGATGGATGATTTTCGATAATGTTAAATATACTGTGAAATTAAGAAAGTGAATAATATTAATGGTTAATTTTAGCAATTTCCTCGAGATGATTTTGTTTGGCGTGCAATTGCGCCACAATAAGTTGCATGCTGCATGCA